ACACAACTGTGACAGTAGTCCACTTTATGCTTTAAATATAACCATCACTACTTTGCAATTTATTTTTAAAATGAACATGTTTCTTTCTCTTCTTTCCCTAATCTCAGGAGAAGAGATTACCTTTCTTTCCCATCCTAGACAGAGGATGGGAAAGAAAGGTAATTGTCCTTGAGTACAAACCCACCATAGGAAYGAAGTAATCCAGATTTTGGGGAAGATCTCAGAAAGATCTTTCCAGAAGATCTCAGAAAGGACTATCTCCTAAATAAATAAGTGAATGACAACACCAACAGAGAACATATGGAATGGAGCCTTTGAGTCACTCTTTAAAAGCCCCCTGTTCCTGCTGATGAATAACAGCTTTGGGGACAGGAGTCCCCAGTGTTTCTCCTTTGTTAGCAAAGCAATAAACCTTCTTTTTCCTTTTTCTCAAAACCATGTCTTCGTTATTGGATTGGCATTGGGGACATAGACTGAGCTTTCAGCAACAAACATTGTAGCACCAAATTCTTGTAAATGCCCAACCAATATATGAACGGCTGGTGAGGCCTTCCTTTCTATTTCCCTCCCTCCTCAACATTTTCGTCTTGAGTATTTGGTTCTGATCACCAGATGGAAGTTCGCAAGTAGATTCAAAATATCTAGACTACTTTACCTATAGTTTCTGGCTCCTCTAATCTCTTGCCTGCTGAGGGATTCCCAGGGCTATGGAACTTGGAGAAACCTCAAAATATTTCCCAATGCCCTGCATGCCCCCAGCTCCACCCAAAGTCTCTTGTGCCCAGTGAAGTCCATTCTCTTTTAAAAGCCTCCTCCCAGTAAAGTTTTCCTTGTTAGCATCTGGAGTTCCCTCCTGATCTAAAAGGATTTTTACTAACTCTGGCAAGTAAATAGGCTCTCCATACTTGCTGTTGATCAGAATCAAGGCAAAAGAGTAGTGCTATGAAGATAGAGTTGTCTTTTCTATCAAATCTATTTTGATGAACTGACTGAGCAGGGGCCCCCTTGAAATTGTCCTCCCCCTCCAACTTCCTTTTTGCTCTCATACCCCTCTCTAAACCTTTGGCTGATGAGAAGCCCAGCTAGATGTTAACTGCTAAACCTTTGCTTATATTCACAGAACCAAGATGATCTTTGCAACACAAGTCCTTAGTAACTAACTTCAGGGGCTGAAATCCATGGTGATGTCCTGGAGAAGACACTGGCCCTCACTGAGGAAGGTCAGACTTGGCCCAGCCTGAAGCCTCACTACCTCAACTCCCCACACACACACAAAAAAAACCTATGCAACCCTGAGCTCAGGAAGATAGAGTCTTGAGGAGCTATCCCTTCTACCTTCTTCAGGGCTGGCTTGGAATAAACCTCATTCCTTCCTACCAATACTCATCTCTCTAACTTTGGTACTTCAGCGTTAGGCAAACCAGACGTCTGAATCCAGTAACATGACCATGAGTTCCTGAGTCCAGCACCAAATTGGCTTCTTTTTCCATTTTATTATTGTGGTAAAATATTCATAACATAAAATTTACCATTTTGTCCACTATTAAGTATATAGTTCAGTGGTATTAGGGGTATTAGTTATATTCAAATGACTGTGTAACTATCACAACCATTTAGCTGCATAATCCTTTCATCTTGCACAAGTAAAATTCTATACCCATTAAGCAATTGATTAGACAATAAATCTCCACACACACCCTCAGTCCTTAGCAACCATGATTCCAACTGACTTTTGTCAACATATTTGACCTCACTCATATATCYTAGTAAAAAGAGGAGATTTTGTTGTCATTTCCTTTGATAGATCTTTTAAATAATTTTCATGTAAGACTAAAATTGGACTCAGTCTTCTTTCCCTACATGACCCAGTGGTCTTATCATTCACTCATTCCTTGTATGTCTCTGAACCCATCTTAAGATATATTAATAGATATGTGGCTCTGCACAGTCTCTGCCAGGAATCCTCAGTCTTTTCTTCAACAAACAAAGCAGAAGGAAGAAGCATGAGACAGGATAAGCCCCAAACCAGCTGAAATGATAATGGACAGGAAGCAGCTGACCAACTGAAGCTCAAGAAATAGAAAAGCTCCCAGTAAACCTGTTTGGCCTTTGAATTCAACAGCCTGCCAGATCTTTCCCACACACTGCTGTCTCCCATGGGAGTCAGAGTTCACTGAAAGGGGAAAGAGAAAAAATTGTGTGTATCATACATAACCAACCCTCAAAAAATATCTGCTGAATTGAACTGAATGGAATTCATTCATAGGCTGCATCCCTKCTGAATTAGTCAGCTTTCCATCTCTATGACAAAATGCCTGAGAAAAAACAATTTAAGAGAGAAAARACTTATTTTGGATCACAGTATTGTAAGGTCAGGCAACAGCAGCAACCAAAAAGGAGGCAGATTTAAAAGGCTGCTGAATGAGGCTTTATTGAGATTTCACTCCTGGGAGGAACTCTATCAGACTGACAGAGCAGATAGGAAGAGGGTCTGAGGAGAAACCACGTGGGGGCTTGACAGGACTGGAATTTTTATGGAGCTTACGGCAGGAAGGAAGGGCTTGGGACAGGAAAAGGGAGTTTTAGAGTCCCTTGTCCCACTGGAGTTGGTTGGGGAACTGGCTGAGATCCAGGATTGGCCAGGAGACCCTGTGGATTGACAGGTAGTTCCGTTGGTGCCTGATTGATGTTTCTTTCAYGCTGGAAGGCTGCTTGGTGCTTTGTTTCTAAGTCACTGCCATAGACCTGACAAGTATTATTTATTTATTTATTACCAATATTATTTGGTACTGGGGATTCAACCCAGGGGCACTCTACCACTGAGCTACATCCACAGACTATTTTATTTTGAGACAGGGTCTTGCTAAGTTGCTGAGGGTCTCACTAAGTTTCTGAGGCTTGCCGTCCTTCTGTCTCCACCTCCTGAGTCACTGGGATTTCAGGCATGCACCACCATGCATGGCTTGGCTCATAGGTTTTGGTCAATGGTCACCTGGCTTCATTGTTATGGACATCATTCTGGAAAGGCAGAAAGAACATCGTGGTRGAAAGGCATGGTGAAGCAAGCTGCCCACCCCATGGCAGTCAAGAAGCAATGATGATCAAGAGAGGAAGGGTGGAGAGAGAAAGGGTTCAGGAACAAGATATGCCCTTCAAAGGCATGACCCTAGTGACATACTTCCTCCAAACAGGTTCCACACCCTAAAGTTTCTCCCGCCTCCCAATAGCCTATTAAAGTATGAATCCATCACAACCTCCATTAAAGAGTTTAGTGCTCTCATGGTCTAATCACCTTCCAAACGCCACACCTAGGAACACCTGCTACCTTGGGAACAAAGCCTTCAGTACATGAACTTTTAGGGGGATGTTTCAGATCCAAACCACACCACCTACTCAGCATGGATCAAAATGCAAAGATCAGCCTCCTCACACCAACACTAAGTGGCGTTTGACGATGATATAGTGAGCACTTACCTTAAACCTAGCTCTTTGCTAAGCATTTTATAGTCAATACCTCATTTAAGCATCCCAACAGTGACTGCTCCAACTTGCTACATAGGAATGGCTTAGAAGTGATGTCTAACTGGAAGGGGCAGAATAGCTCATCATAAAGCTAACTTACACCGGGCATGGTACCGCACACCTGTAATCCCAGCGGCTTGGGAGGCTGASGTGGAAGGATCRCAAACTCAAAGCCAGCCTCAGCAATGGCAAGGTGTAACCCTGTCTCTAAATAAATACAAAATCAGTCTGGGGATGTGGCTCAGTAGTTGAGTGCCCCTGAGTCCAATCCCTGGTACTCCTCCTTCAGAAAAAGAAAAGCTAATTTACATAGGCACTTTTACATAAGATTGAGGAAGTATCAATCATTTACATCAAAGAATGGAGGCTTGCCAATAAAGTGTATGGGGGGATTGGGGGGGGGCTTCTCTCACAGGGGATCTTGGTGCTACCATGAAGTAGATTTTATTATTCCCATTGTACAGATGGAGAAACCCAGGCTTTCAGCAGTTGGTAAACTTGCTTCAAGTCACATAGCTAATGTCATAGAACATCTGTCTATCTGTCTCTGTAAGTGGATAGTTGTTTGGTCATATGCAAAAGAAGTAAAAGAAATTTATAGATCTTATTTGAAAAAAATAGTTTTTGTTTTATTGTTGTTTCTAAGGTTGAAGTCAGAAGAAAATGTAATTTTTTTAATATAGGTGAAATAAAGTGAATAGTACTGACCAACTTCTAGCAAAATGTCATGAAGAATAATAGTCTTGTGGCATAGAGCAAAACAAGTCTCATTCATCAAGTACAGTCCACTGCTGAAAAATCAAGGGTATTCCTCTATTCAAAAGGCCTAGATGGGCACGGCAGTGCACGCCTGAATCCCAGCAGCTCAGGAGGCTGAGGCCGAAGGATCTGGAGTTCAAAGCCAGCCTAAAGCCAGCCTCAACAAAAGCGAGGCCCTAAGCAACTCAGTGACATCCTATCTCTAAATAAAATACAAAATAGGGCTGGAGATGTGGCTCAGTGGTCAAGTGCCCCTGAGTTCAATCCCCAGTACCCCCTCAAAAAAAAAAAAAAAAAAAGAAAAGAAAAAGAATATAGACAAATACAGTAGAACTGAATTATATTCCATAACTGGTTACTTCATAGCTTTGGATCAAATACATTCTTAAAAGTTCATGCATTAAAGAATAAAATTTAGGCACACATTCTAATACTTAAAGGGGTAGACACTGTTCACATCCTGGACAGGATGAAAGAATAAAGAAGAAGGAATCTAGCTGCTTCCTCCATACTTCCAGTTTCCCCCACATGCAGAGGCCAGGGTCACTGCCAACAGCAGCACTTCCCTTCTGTGCTGTGGTCTGCCACAGTGATGGAGAAGCTGGTTACCAGGCCAGGGCTGTCTGTGCTTGCTATTTGGGCAGCTGTACCAGAGGAAGGAAGAAAGCTAAGTTTAGTGGGGGTGTATGTGAAACCTGTTCCCCCCACTGCAAACACACCTCGTCCGGCTGGTTCAGGTCCTTTAGGTGCAGGTCTTGAATAAGGTACTCCACAATGTGCACATTATTACTCTGAGCTGCAAAGTGAAGGGCATTCATTCCATCCTGAGGAGAGTGGGAGGGAAAAGATATGGCCTTGGAACTTCTCCCTCCTGCATAGGTGAGGTGAGAGCTCACAACCATGTGTGATCCACAGACCTACCTGGTTCTTGGCTCTCTGGTCTGCTCCAGCTCTAACCAGCATGATCATGATCTCAAAGCTTCCAGTCCAGGCCGCAAGGTGAATTACAGTCAAGCCGTGCTTCCCCAAGAAGAGAGAAGAAAAGACTCTATCACATGAATGAGCCATAGCCTATAATCTCAGTCAATAAAGGACTAGTTAATACCAGATTATTGAATATTAAGAAATGCAAAATTTAATATACAAAAAAGAAAAATTTCAATTTTATGTGAAAAGTGGGTATATTTAATAAGCGATAGGCACAAATGATTCTCTATCCAAAAGAAATATATAAAATTAAATGTTTTTTGAGAGAGAGAGAGAGAGAGAGAGAGAGAGAGAGAGAGAGAAAGAGAGGAGAGAGAGAGAGAATTTAATATATATATATATTTTTTTTAGTTTTCAGCGGACAAAACATCTTTGTTTGTATGTGGTGCTGAGGATCGAACCCAGGCCGCACGCATGCCAGGCGATCGCGCTACCACTTGAGCCACATCCCCAGCCCCCCAAAATTAAATGTTATATTCACAAAAAAATACATAAAAAATAAATATATTAGGACAAAAGTTAGATTATAATATATACTCTCTTAACTCAGTTTTATAAAAAGGAAAAATAGAACATACATGAAGTCAATAAACAAATTACACTTAAGAATATATCTTTTATATATATTTTAGAATTAATTAATTAGAAAAAATATAATTTTGTTCTAATATATTTATTTTTATGTATTTTTTGTGAATATAACATTTAATAAAGATAAATGGCAATTCTCTATTATATGAGGTACTCTCACAAATCAACAATGACAAAAAAAGCCAGGTTTGGTGGTACAAACCAGGAGGATGGCAAGTTCAAGGCCTGCCTTGGAAACTTAGTGAGACCCTGTATAAAGAGCTGGGGATATAGCTCACTGGTAGAGCACGCTTGAGTTCAATACCCAATACCACCAAATAATAATAACAAAATAAAACAACAAGAAAAAAATAATAGAAAAATGCACACAGGTGCTCTCTTGAGGTGTTAGAGGAAATAGATACCATTATTGTCTAACAATCTAGCACTATAAATTTAAAATGCAACCAGAAATCCTATTCTTGGGAATTTATACTATGAAAATAAAATTTCAGGGCCTAATGTTAAATATATGAACATATTGTTAGCTCTGAAAATTGGAAACAAGGTACATGTTCATCAATAGGGGAATGTTAATGAATTATGAAATAGTTACATCATGCAACCATTAAAATAATGAATTAGCTCTATAACAATAGATTTCTATAAGCTTTGTTAAATATGGGAAAAAACATAAGACAAAATATAATCCCATTTTATATAAATGATACAGTGAACAAAACCCTCATACCTGTAAGTGTATATCTATATCTATTTATAGGTGGGTTGGTAGCAGGTAGAGATATTGACATAGATATGATCACATGTGCATGGAGATAAGTACAGAAATGAACACACACCTATCTCAGAAATAAACAAACACCTAGTGACTGTTGAGTACAGGGAGATGGTACACAAAGATAAGAAAATTGAAAAAGACAAGTTATATAGGGTTCTCATTTATACAGAATCTATCTAAAAGGACTCTGTTTACAAAAAATTATATAGATGTGTGCATAGTATGTGTTTAGGCTGAAATAGAGATTTGGCTCAGGACTTACTGACCTGTCAGTTCTGGGCAATTGTATGTAAGTAATATACTGAATTAGGAGAAAGAAAAGTGTGGAAGGAAGTAGCCAGTTGTTAACATTGGCTATCTCAGGACAGTGGGCTTAGAGGCAAGTAAACTGAGAAAACCTCATCTGCACCTTCAGTGTAGGTTACTAAGCAATAAACAGTAGTCTTTATGATCAAGTGGAACTGACCCCAAACTCTGGTCACTTTCTACCACTTTCAAGTACTGTGATGTTAGTTAACTCAGTTAACTCTCAGCTTCACGTTCCTTAATTTTTTTTTAAGAGAGAGAGAGAGAGAGAGAGAGAGAGAGAGAGAGAGAGAATTTTTTAATATTTATTTTTTAGTTTTTGGCGGACACATCTTTATTTTTATGTGGTGTGAGGATCGAACCCAGTGCCGAGCGCATGCCAGGCGAGTGCGCTACCGCTTGAGTCACATCCCCAGCCCTCACGTTCCTTATCTTAAAGTTCATGCGTCTCCTTTTCTTTTTCCTTTATTCTCATCAAAACCTAAGCCATTACCTCTGCACAACTGCCTGCCAAAGGCAAGCCCTCTCCCTACATCTCATTTGTCCTCCAAATTGGTTGTGCTTGTAATCCAGATGCACACAGCAGGAGTAAATAAACAAGGAATGAAGGTCTTCAGGGCACTCCCTATCATATTCTCTACTGAGGTCTTGAACATGCTAGACAAGTTCTACCACTGAGTTACRTCTGGCTGGGCACAAAATAACCGAGCCGCCACACAGCCTTGTAGGTTCAAAACAGGAACTCCTTTATTCTCTGCACTCCCGCGGACACGGAGTGCGAGGCGTTCTCCCAACTACTCCATTCTGGCAAAAATGCCAAGCGTCATTCGGACTCAGCTATGGCTCTCAGCATACTTTAAGTTTTTTTCCTTTTTAAATTTTGAGAAAGGGTCTCCATAACTTGTCCAAGCTATCCTCAAACTTGTGATCCTTTTGCTTYAGCCTCCTGAGTAGGTGTGTGCCACCAAGCCTGGATGTGGGGTGCTTCTATTTCTGAAGTGTATATATCCTTTAGTGTTTATTTTGGCTTCTCCAGTAATCACATTCATGTATTCACTTATTCTCAGTAGAGCTCAAGTTAGGAGAGTGAAATAGCAAATCCCATATTATCGAGTTACAAATTTTAAATCAATGTTCCAGAGAATATTTTTAAGTGTCTCAAGACATTTTGCATAGTAATGACTGAGGGGTACTATGGGCACTTAGTACGTAGAGGCCACAGATGCTGCTAAACATCCTACAATGCACAAGAAAAACCTCACAACAAATAATTATCTGGCTCCAGATGTCAATAGTGCCACTGTTAACAAACCTCGCTCTAAATGTACATATGTTATTAAATTTTCATTTTAGCTGTCACACTACACAGTGAGTCAGTCCATTTAAATATTTTAAATTCCAGAGTTTTCTTCAAACTCTTCACAACTTCTTCACTCTTTTACAAGGAACATTGATATATGACCTCTAGGTAAGGTTCTTCAAAAAATGTATTCTAACCACAGTTCCACCTCTTKATTTAGGCTTCCCTACAAATCAGTGCTCCATATTCAGTACTACCAAATTTGGTTTTACATATGGGCATAAAAGACCAGAAATATTTGGACAGGTGATAAACTATATTTTAATAGGAGCTCTATTTCTTCCCTAAGAGGTCATTCCTAATCTTGAACAGCCAACATTTAAAAATTCCAAGTGCTGATTATAAAATCTAAAAGCTGGGAATGGAATCTCTGAAACCACAAATTCTGAGTGGAGCCATTGTTCCTCTGAGGCAATGAATCACTACACAGAGATGTAAATTCCCACAGAAGAACTTTCCTAAAACAAAGTCTTYGGCTATGCAACTGGCATGCTTAAGAGTATGTGTCATGAATTACACTCACAGTTGCCTCACATGCTCTGGAAAGTACAAAATGCCAGTTATCTGCATTACCAGTCTGGTCATAGGTGAGGTTAGTAATTTCCTCTGGGGAACACTTAAACTTTAAGAGCTCCCCAGAGAAGCAACTCAGAAAGCAGATGCTAGTCATCTTCTAAGCACCTTAGGCCTCCCTTTATCTGGTCTGCCACTTCTCAAAACTTGGGGATGCTACCCACTTTGACTCTGGAGGTCCTCAGTGGTGGGGTCATGCATTTGATCCTAAGCATGCAATACCTTGCATAGTACTCATATGTTATAGTCTCTGTCCTTGCTCCCTAGATAGATAACAGGAGACTCAAAACCAGGACTATATCTCATACCAGATACAATCATCTGGGGATCTTTTTCCCCCTTTTTGGTATTGGGGATTGATCCCAGGGTGCCTTAGCACTGAGCCACATCTCCAGTTTTTTTTCAAATTTTTTACTTTGAGATAGGTTCTTTCTAAGTTTCTGAGGGGCTCACTAAATTGCTGAGACTGGCCTTTGATTTGCAATCTTCCTGCCTCAGTCTCCTGAGTCAATGGGATTACAGACATGCACCACTGCACCTGGCATTGGGTCATCTTTTTAAATTAGGGATTCTTATTCAGAAGATCTGGGTTGGGACCTGAAATTCCTCATTTCTAACATTCCCTGGTGGTGGCCATGCTTCTGGTTGAATCCCCAGTAGCTGGCATTGAGACTTATGAAGGACACTGAATATACATTGAAGATGAAGGGGTTCAATTGTTAGTTCTTTGCAAATGGGTGTTGAAACTTTGAAGACAGATCAGCCAAATCAAATTGGGGGCTTATCACTCAGATAAGACAGTTGCCAGAAATGACAAAACCATGGTAGTGCTTGCATTATGATGATAAACATTTTATCAGTTATGTACCAACATCTCTGCGAATGATAAAATTCATTACAAAAATCTTTGGTGAAATTTCTAAGGCTGGCACCAGAGATACATAAGGAATTTCCCATCTGATAGCATTTCAATTTACAAGGCAACATTGATAGAAGCTGATGTTAATTAGAGACGTGCTTCAGATATGGGGTAACACAAATATATGCTTAGAAAGCCTTGAAAAGAACAAGTTGGTAAAAACATCTCTCCATCATTTCAGGAATAATTTGCTTACACTCTGACATAAGCCAAACCTGAATTTAATACATTTGAAATTTGGCAATCCTCAGCTATGCTAGCTTGGAGAAAAGATGCATTCAATCCAGGCCATGGATTCAAGGGTGTTTGTTGTATGATTTTGTCTACTTTAATATCAGGTTGAAGATTTTGGGTTATGGTTATGGTTAAAATAGAGCAAAAGCACTCCACCCTGTCTCTCCTACCAAATGCAACTAAAATCTCTGAATAAAATTCAGCTATCTGAAAAGTAAATAGTTACAGGTAGCTTAGGAAAGGAAACCAGAACTCAAGAGTACAAAAAATCCTGTTGTGAGTTTCCTGATTTTTGTTTATCTTCTTCCTTCCATATCTTCCAACTTGGATTTGAGGCAGCACCAACCACAAAACTATACAAGGACAGAAAGAGTTCCAAAAGAAGCCCTTCTTTCTAGTCTAAGAAGCAGAGGGAGCCTCTAATGAATAAAGAAGGTGGGGAAAATTCTTTGCTTCTTTGTACTTTTCTGGTCCTGCAAGCTCTGGAAGGCTCAGAAATGTGGGGGAGATGATCATGGGGAGGAAAAAGCTGATGAACTCTAGACAGGGCAAAGCGGTGGAATGGAAGGGAGGGGGCATGGGAGTAAAAAAAAAWGGTGGAATGAGATGGACATCATTACCCTAAGTACATGTATAGAGACAAGAATGGTGTGAATATACTTTGTATATAACCAGAGATGAAAAATTGTGCTCTATATGTGTAATATGAATTGTAATGTATTCTGCTGTCATGTATAACAAATTAGAATAAAAATTTTTAATAAATAAAAAGAAAAGAGAAGCATCCTATGAAGTTGGGTATGCACTCCTGGGCTTGCTCCTGAACGGTATGTGGATGAACTCTTAACATTAGACAAAGACTTAGAGAACTGATTTATGTGTTGACCACTGMCAGTATCAGACTGGTTCCTGGGACATATCTGAACAGAACTAAAAAGGTCTTTAAAAATGAAATGACTTTTAAAAAGTGATTGTTGATGTGCAAAAAGAAAGAAAAAAATCACAACCTATTTCTACCCTGAACTAAAATTAATTCAGAATGAACCATTGTCTTAGTCTGTTTTGTGTTGCTATAACAGAATATCACAGACAGGGTAATTATAATGAACAGAAGTATATTTGACTCATGGTTCTGAAGGCTGGGAAGCCCAAGACGGATGGACCTATCTGGTGAGGGCCTACTAGCTACATCATAAAGTAGAATAAGGCATTACATGAATGAGGGGAGGTGGGRAAGATGGTCCAAGTTTGTTCTTTTATTCAGAATTTTATTCAGAATGCTCTCCTGAGATAACAGCATTATTATAATTCATTCATGAGGGCAGAGCCCTATGCACTAATGAACTTCCAATAATGTTRCATTGGGGAATAGACTTCCAACATATAAACTTTGAAGGACACAGCAACTATAGATCTAAATGTAAAATACGAGGGCTGGGATTGTGAGCGCTTGCCTAGCATGAGCGGGACCCGGGTTCGATTCTCAGTACCACATAAAAATAAAGGCATTGTGTTGTGTCCATCTACACTTAAAATAAATAAATAAAAATAAAATACAAGACTGTAAAATTTTTAGAAAAAAATATGAGAAAATCTTTATAACCTTAACTTAGGCAAATCATCTTTACATATAACTCCAATATCAGGATTCATTTTTAAAAATAGGTACATTGTATTTCATCAAAATTTAAAAATTTTGCTCTGGGAAAAACACTGAAAACACAAGCTATAGAGTGATAAGATAATGCAAATCACATACCTAACAAAGGATTGGTATGCTACAAGAAATATTTGTTCAGATTCATTTCATACAAGGCAAGAATGATCCATCCACAAACCCCACTGGACTCCCCAAGTTTGGTTGTCCTAGGTTAAATGGTTCACCTATTTATAATATATATTTTTATAAAATTCCACAATAAGAAAACATTTGATTTTTAGAAATGTTCAAAAGATCTGGCTGGAAATGTTGCTCAGTGGTAGTGCTTATCTGGCCCTGGGTCCCCACCCCTCAGCACCACAGGTGGAACACAATCTGAACAGGCTTCACCAAAGAAGATATAAAAATGGCAAATAACACATGAAAGATGTCACATACMATTAGCCACTAGAGAAATGCAAATTAAAATTGCAATGAGGTGCCTACATAACTGTGAGAGTTGCTAAAAATTAAGGGGGGGGGAGGATGGCAATTCCAATGAGGATGCAGAATAAGTGAAACTCTTCTACCTGGTTGGTGAGAATGAAAATGGCACAACCAATTTAATTAATAGGCTGGCAGCTCCTTGTTAATTTATGCATATACATAGTAATTAGCCCAATAGTCTCACTCTTGGATATTTATACTAGAGAAATGAAAACCTAGATATAAACAAATTCTTATACATGAATACCTGTAGCAGCTCTTATTATAATAGCTAAAAACTAGAAATAACCCTAATGTCCTCCAAATGGTGAGTGGATAAACCTCTGCCATATCCATAAACTGGAATACTATTTAGCAATAAAAAGGAGGAGTTCTTGACACATGCAACACTATGAACGAACTTCAGTCATTTTACAGAATGAAAGAAGCTGGTTTAAAAGGTAATATACTATACGATATTTATGTRACATTCTCAAGGGCATATTCTTAACAGTGGTTTGGCTACAAAGAGGCAGCATGAGGGAAATTTATGGATGTTGCAACTGTCTGAATTTTTTGTGGTGCTGGGGATTGAAGCCAGGGCCTTGTGCATGTTAATCACATTCTACCACTGAACTACATGCCCAGCCACTTTGACCTTCAGATTGATTGTGGTGGTTACATGAATCTGTACACGTATTAAAACTTATAGAACTGTACACTAAAAAGAAAGCTAATTGTACAGCATGCTAATTTTAAAATTAAAGTAAAATAAATATATTATATCAGATTTTCAATGACTGATCTATTACCAATGCATCATTTGCAGGTTAAGTAATTTGCAAAATAATCAAATTACAATTTCTAGACTGAAGGACACATCTCTTAGTTACCATAGCCACTAATACAAGTAAACATATTCGCAAAGTCAGAGTGCTTTCAGTGGTAATTTTTAATTCTGATTTTCTTACATAGCAATCAACTTGCCACCAATATCATAGTAATAAACTAGAGAGGGATGTGCCCCACTGGTGACACAAAGAGAAACTCCCACCATCATTAAGTCTACATCTTGTGTATGATGATTAACAAAAACCAACTAACTGGTACATCTGACTCCATTTATCTTCCAAACATTTACTAAGCACACATAAAGTCAATATGGGAAAGTAAGTAAAGCCCACACACAGCCCCTGTGAGATATGAAGGTAAAGCCATGCTGAGCCTTACCCTCTAGGGAGTCCCAGACTAGAGAAGATAAAATAGCTCTGGGAGATTCTTCTGAACAGTTTAAATTTAAGAACCATGGTCCACGGAATTAATTAAGATTAAATAATTTTCAAATAAGTCTATCATATTCTTCCATAATTAGAGATGCTAAACATAATATTGAGTCTCTATAGCTGATTTCCTTATGCCCTGATAAAGCATTCAACTAAGGTGGAAATCCTCAGGGTGGGTTTTGAAATCTAGGCAGACAAGTAGTTAAGCTGACTTGTAGCTAACMGCATGGTCTCTGAGATCAGACAAATTGGGTTTAAATCCTGCCTTCACTCCTTCTCAGGTATAATTTTGGGGGGGTAAGATACTTAATCTGTGTCTCAGTCTCCCCACCTGTAAATTGAGTATTACAACACTTTTATCATAAGGTTCACTAGGAAGCAGCATTAAATACTAAAGTCCTACTACTTTGTGCCTGGTACATAGTATGTATTTAGTAAGTTTTATTTATCATCAGAGTCCAAAGGGTAAAATCTAGATTTATTTTCCTGGGGCCAGTTAGTTTCTGTCTTCCGAGTGTCAGATTATGCTCTAGACAATTATCATACTCTTGCAAATGCATGCTATTGGCCATAAAGTCAATATGGGAAAATAAGTAAAGCCCAAGTCCTTGAGGTAATGGTAAACAATTTAATCACCAAATACAAAGATCTCTTCAAAATGTGTTAATGGAAATATTTTGTGGGCATGAAAGATGATCAGATTGGAGTGATTAGATTCTCCTTATACATTGGTTATACTATAATTCATTCTGCCAATGGAAGATGAGCTTACCTTATCAGCGATGTCAACCCTGGCCTTGTGATTCAGTAAGAAATCCACCGCAGATAAATGATTTCCCCCCACTGCAAAATGCAAGGCTGTGCGGTTCATCTGAGGAAACATAATTTGTGTTCTTGGTCATCTGATCATTATTTAACTTTTTTTCTGGATTCCTGTTTCTTGAATGGCTGTAATTTTCTGTTGAGTATTTGGATATTTAGCTCCACTTTTTGCTACAAAAGTTATAAGAACTGTGTTCAGAAAACTCCTGTCATCTATTATCATATGATAGAGAATTTGGCAATCCGCTGAAGGATACACCAATATAACAGATTGCATTCAAACAGTAAAAGTTGTATTTTTCCTTGTATGCAATCATTAATAATGAGATTTTTTTTTTTCTGTTGAGAATACGTTAGTCAGCTTTCCATCACTGCAACAAAATATCTGGGATAACTTATAAAAAAGGAAAGATTTATTTTGGCTTATGGTTTTAACCCATGGCCACTTGGCTCCGTTGTTTTTGGGTCCAATGGGAGGCAGAACATCATGGCAGGGAGTACATGGTGGAACAAAGGTACTCATTTGAAGATGGCCCAGAAGCAAAGATAGAGAGAAATGGTGAAACTGGCATACTCGCAGTGACTTAACTTCCTTCCWATAGGACACATCTCTTACTCTTCTTTTTCATTAGTGCATTGTGATTACACACAGTAGTGGAATTTGTTGCTATATACTTGTATGTGCATACAATATAACAATATAATTTGGTCAATTTCATTCCCCTGTGCCTCTCCTCTTCCATCCCATGGACCCTTTCCTCTACACTACTGGTCTCCTATTTTCATGAGGTCTCTCCCCACCTTTTCTTTTTTCTATTTTTCCTTTTTGCCCTAGAGCTTCCTTCCATATATAAGCGAAAACATATAACCCTGGAAATTCTAAGTTTGGTTTATTTTGTTTAATATAATGCTCTCAAGTTCCACCCATTTTCTTGCAAATGACATAATTTTATTCTCCTATACGGCTGAATAAACTAATGTTTACTGTAATCCCAGCGGCTTGGGAGGTTGAAGCAGAAGGCAGGTTGAAGCAGAAGGCTCTTAAGTTCAAAGCCAGTCTCAGCAACTTAGTGAGGCCCTGAGCAACTTAGCAAAACCCCATCTCAAAATACAAAATAAAAAACAGGGCTGGAGATGTGGCTCAGTGGTTAAGCACCCCAGGGGGTTCAATCCCTGGTTAAAAAAGAAAAGAAGGAAGAGGAGAAAGAGGRAGAGGAGAAGGAGGAAGAGGAGAGGGAGAAGAAAAAGAAGGAGAAAAAGGAGAAGGATATGAGGTATCAGTGCTTGCTGCTAGCAGGGGCAGGGGTATTGCAGTAAACAGATTGATTGGCATTTGACAAGCCACTCCCATCTCCAGGAGGCTCTGTGGCTCCAGCAAGTCATTCCCATSTCTGGGGCTATGCTAGAACTTGAGCGGTGAGCTAGAACAGGGTGCCAACCTGAAGTAGGCATTCTCAAACTCTCCCAGGGAGTTCCACCTGGGAGTTCCTACAAATGGGCTTCCCTGCCTAATAGCTTCAACACTGCTCAGTTCACACATGGCTCAGTTCACATATGGGTCATGAATGGCTTCCAGCAGTAGAAGGAGAAGAAGAAAGGCCTGGACAAGTAAGGGCCTGGAAACTTATTCTTCATTGAGCTCCAATAATTGTCCTAAGCAATTGATACAGCCCCCAACCTGTTCGTTTTTGATATATATTGGGTTGAGAGGCTGTCAAGAAATCCTCATAAAATCAAGCAGTAGGGAATCCATGCTTCTGACAGTGGACTTCTATCCCCAAACCCAGGCACTTGAAGAACAAGCAAGGAAGAGCAGGTTTTCAGAAAGGTCTCATTGCCCAATATGTCAATGCTCTATATTTCAAAAGCAGTACAATAAAAATCCACATACTCCTTTGGATTTTAAACTTGGAAACCCAACCACAGAGGACCTTGCTGAAGAGAAACACCCAGATTGTGTAACAAAAGATGTTCTGCCTTTGTAAAATGTGAGATCAAAATGATCCACAGGGTACAGTCTAGGACCAAGTCCAGGCCCATAACCCTGATAGTGGGTTCCACTGCCTACCCACAGACTTTGCACAGATGTGCATAAAGACTCTGTGCATTCCTCCTCTCATAAGATCATAAAACATCGAGAGCCTTTTCTACTGCTTGATTTTACCTTTAGCTTAAATAATTTGGAATTCCCAACAAAGGAGAGCTCCCAAATCTCAGCCAGCCTAATCTTTTAAATTTTTATTATTATTTCATTTGACCTGTGTAAACCCAAGCCACCACTTAGAATAATCACTTGTCATATTTGTGATTTCTACTCACATTGTTCACAGCATTAATGTTAACCTTCTTTTCAAACAGCTTTTCCATAAGATCCAAATTATTGCTTTTAGCAGCATTCTGAAAGCTTCTCTCTTTTGGCAGTACTGAAAGAAAGCAAGCAAGCATGACCAAGGGAATTGAAGGAGGCCACAGAGAAATCACATGTCAAGTGGCAAAGCTTATAACTCTAAACACTTGAAATAACAGCTTGAGTCTTTCACATTCTGCTCTTTAGGAAATGGAAACTTTATTTCAGTGTTTTATGAAGTTATAGTTTTAAGACTCCACCTTTTCCTCATACTGTAAGTGTTTTCACAGCCTTATCATTGTTCCTGGCCTCAAAGAAAACATTATTCATGAGGACCACCCTGAAGTCAGTAATGTGATATGTGGCTTAGGAGCTCACAGGGTGGCCACAGACTTCCCATGGGACATCATTTGTAAAATGTTTGTAGAACATTAGATGGGGAGGAGCCCAAATGCTCTTATAGCTTACAAAGATAAAACTGTTGCCTGCAGGAGGCTCTGTGTAGATGCCTGATCTCAGGAACAAAATCTTAAAATGTAGCCCATTATATAAAGATACACAAAGGCTAGCATGAATGAATACATTTTGTTCTCATTTATATGAAAGGACATAAAGTAGATTCACACCTATTGTAAACATTACATATCACATACATACACATTCAGATAGTAGGATTTATTAACTAGTACAGAGAAAATTCTGGGATTTTTTTTTTTTTTTTGGTTGTTGTTGTTGAGGTTTTTGTCATGGTGGGGAGCTACAGGACTCTCAATGGAAAGCCCCAACCCTGGGGGATAAAATCAGAGTTGAAGTTAATCAGAACCAATAATAGACCATCTCAAAAAAAAAAAAAAAGAGAGAGAGAGAGAGACTCTTCAGAACACTGCCAAGTCTACTCAAAGGCCAAGGAATATCTTCATGGAAGATACTATTTTGGGTTGAACTGTATCCTTCCAAAATTCCTGTGTTAGAACCCTGACCCTTAGTACTTCAGCATGTGGCTGTAATTGGAGATGAGGCCTTTAAAGAGGTAATAAATGTAAAATGAGGCTACACAGGTGGATTCTAACCTGATCTGACTGATGTCCCTATAATAAGAGATGATTGGGACACAGACACACATAGAGGTAAGATCATCAAAAGACAGGGAGAAGGAGGCAATCTACAAGTCGAGAAGAGGCCTGAGAGGAAACCAACCTGCTGACACAGTGATCTTTGACTTCTAGTCTCCAAATGTGTGAGAAAATAAACTTCCAAAGTTTAAGTTACCAGTCTATGGTACTTTGTCACTTTGAGTATAGATTTACGTGTTCGTTCTTTCTATCACTGATCACTCACTTGCTTCCTATCCCTACTCTATTCATCTTACTAGACAACTTCAACATCCTTATAGATGACTAGTCCAATACCCTGGCCACTTAGTCCCCCAACTAAGTTCCTTACCTCTCCCATCCGACCTCAAGCATCAAATTTCAGGGACACACTCTTGACCTAATCATCAAACTACACTACCTTTGATATCTTCACTTCAAGAATCCCATTCTCTGACCACTACTTCTCTTCCATTCACTCACCTGCTACAATGCATCAAGTCCAGAAATTCTGCAGCCTAATCAAGTCCTCCTAGCTACTGTTTCTACCATCTGTTCATATTATTCACCACCAGGTCCTTCCTTCTTTCCTTATTCTGTTTAGATTTCATGATATCTGTCTATTTCTGTCACTATAACAAAATATCTGAGACTGGGTGATTTATAAAGAACAGAAATTTATTTCTCACAGTTCTATAGACAGAAAAGTCCAAGACCCAAGGTGCCAGCAGATTCAGTTGTCAGATGAGGGCTGCTCTCTGCTTCTAAGATAGCACCTGTTGTAAATGCTATGTCCTCAGCAGAAGGTAGAAAGGCAAAAAGGGATGAACTCTCTCTGTCAAGTCCTTTGCTTTATTCATTTTTTTATTTGTTGTTTTATGATATTCATGACAGTAGTGTGTATTTTGACATATTATACATACCTGGAGTGCAACCTGTTACAATTTTGATCCCATTCTTATGGTTGTACATGATGTGGAGTTACACTGGTCATGTATTCAGATATGAGCATAGAAAAGTTACATCTGATTCATTCTACTGTCTTTCCTTTTCTCATCTCYCTTCCCTTCTGTTCATTCCCATTGTCTAATCCCCTGAATTTCTATACTTCCTCTCCCTACCTCCCTTACTATGGGATAGCATCCACATACCAGAGAGAATATTCAACCCTCCCTGAGTTCACATTCCTTCATTTTTTTTTTT